TGTTAGGGTGGGTTTCTTTGTGGTGGGTTGTCACTTGTTGCATCACTTGTGCTGTATTAGGTACAATAATTACATGGCAGTACTGCTTTTGGTCTGTAGTAGTCCTTGTGATTTTTTTTGCTAAGAGTAATGATGCAAAAATCCCAAAGTCTCCTCTTGTGCATCTGAAGTTGTCTCTACACTGTAGTCTTTACAGGGGATTAGAGATGTCGTCATCTGCAACCACTCCAACTGTTCTTGATCCAGTACTGTATTGTCTTCACATGTTCTATGTTTAATTGCCTCAACAACCTAATGGGGCCCCCTTCCACCCCCGAGTCCCATAGCAATCACCTGGGCTGCTATGGCCATAGTTACAATCACTATAAGTATTATAACCTGTGTGGCACTCTGTAATTTGAAAACCTCAATAACAGAAATGAAAAGCAAAGAGGAGTATGCTTACCTGGAGTGTAATAGTCATATATGGTGACAGATGCAGGCTGCAGGTAATCCACCTCCAAGTACTGGTGTGCATTAAACACTAGGCATTGCTTCCTAGTCTGAGAGACCTGGCTCAATATAAATAAACAGTAGTAGTACATGAAGAGAAGAAACTAATATAAAGAAGTGACAACCATTGATTAAAGGATGTGTAAAGTTCCAGCATATCCTCTCCTGTTATACCATCAACATTGTAATAGGAATACATACTAGAGTTGTTTTTCATAATGCAATCAAAGCTTACTTGAAAGAATCCCTTTTATGTAGTGAGTGCTGCCTTCCGTCTGCCTATTGGCTTGTGTGTACAGTGAGAAGCAGCAGACTGATGAGTTCATCTCTCATCCACACTGCTCTCTCATGTATATGCAGAGCTGCCTTAATGTGTGTCTTTTATATCTTCCTGCATTATTTTTCCTATGTCCCATTTGGAAGATTCCACTTTGTTCTGGAGACACAACAGCTAACAAGAGGAAAACCTAGGATGAATATGCCCCTTAGGCAGTTGTCACCAAAGCAGGTATCCAGATTGGAAGGCTTCCCCTCTATCCCTGTTCTGGTTACCTTTATCAAGCTTTGGATCACTTAAGATCCCGATGACAAATATCTCAGGACAAACAGATAAGAATAATAAAATAGGGACAAAGGCATTAATAAAAACCCGACAGGAGATGTAACATTTCCATCATCTGTTCACAACTATAACATTTTCTGTCTACATATACACTTTAATGTAAAGCAGTGTTACAGAAGAACATAAACCTGGGCCAATTTTTTATCAATATGAACATATCTATAAAGATATACAACGATCAGCCATAAAATTATAAACACTTGCCCAATATTGATTAGGTTCCCCTTTTCCTGATCCGTTGAGAAATGGACTCCACTATACTATATACTATATATAAGACTCATACGTAGTCTTCCATAGTTGTTCCGGTTGAATAAAGACTAGGGATGCACCAATACCAGTTTTTCGGTATAGATATTTTTTTCGGTACTCACTGATACCCGAAAGTCCCATAAAGAAACAAAGCGCCACTGCCGTGTAACCTAACTACCTGTCAAAAGCTGGATGCAGCTCCACCTGTAATTAACAGGCAACGCTCCGTCCATGACAGGTTACACGGTGGGGAGGATTTCCCTGCTGTGTAACCTGCTAGAAGTCGATCTGAATGGAGAAAAAGCTGTCAGCTTCAGACTTGAAGCTGACACATTTTTTCTTCATAATACTAGGTGAGACTCTGCCTCATCTGCCTCCCCTGACCGCACGTCCCTGATTTAGATGGACCAGGAGTTCAGCTGATGTTTTGGCTAGGACAGTGGATACATATGAATGCTATTCAGTGCTCTATAATCCCAAACTGACATTATAGGGGGTGTGTCTATGACAGTCTGGGCTAAGAGGAAGTGGGTTGGATGGCGCTGACCATCTTTCTACCTAGAAATTTGGTGACACCTAGTGGCAGAATGTTGTTACGGCAGAGAGCTCTAGATCGAAGTTAAAGGAGAACTATGGGGTCAGTGGGTTTTTCCCCATAGTTCTCCTTGGGGTAACGGGAGGACACAAACTAGCGTCCTCTCGTTACCCTAAGCTCAGTATACCGCGAGCAACAGCTCGTGGTATACTGAGACGCCGCACCTGGAGCGGATCCCGACTTAGACGACGGGATCCGCCCAGCTGCGTGAGTGACAGCTGGCTCTGCCTATCTAGAGGCAGAGCCAGCTGTACCCGCCCGCCCCCTCCTCCGTCCGTTCCGCCAGTCAGCGCTGGCAGATCGGAGCGGGGAGGGGGGCCTCCAGCCCCTCCCCCTGTCACGGCAGAGAGCCGTGACAGGATCGAGAGGTGAGGGAACCCGGTATGTGTTCCCTCACCTCCCGATCTACTGAGCCGACCTGTGACAGTCTCATTGTCACAGGTCGGCTTAGAACTATGAGGTGAGTGGAAATCACTCATGTCATAGTTCTCCTTTAAGGTGACGCAAATCTTAATTTGTTTTCACTGGTGTATAATTTTTTTCTTCGCTTTAAGCACTTTTTTGTCAAATAAAAATGTAATATGCAAATTAAAAACAGATTTTAAGCAATAAAACTGACCCAGAGCACATTTTATTCCTTTCTAGGAATAAGAACCCTTCATTGCATAAGACAGATGCATCTTAAGTGTTTTGGAATCTTAGAACAAAGATTATTCATTACCTGACACAGATGGTGATCGCCACAGTAGATTTTGCATTTTTGGGTTTCTCAACTGTTGGATGGATAACCGAGTAATTAATTAAAATAATTCAATATAAATCCTTATTTTATTAAAATATAGCTAATATGAGTACATTTTTCTTGATATCAGCCTCCTGTAATTCCCAGTATAGCAGTATTCAGAATGAAAGCAGGAGGACCAGTTTTAGGAACTAGATACAATGTGCTTAAAGGGAATATGCCAGGGGTGCCCATTAGGTAGATCGTGATCTACCAGTAGCTCTCAAAGCTGATGCTGGTAGAACAGGAAGGGTGTGAATGGTGGCCCCTTTATTCCATTTTGGTATACAGGCAGTCCCCGAGTTACATACATCCTACTTACAAACGGAGGCTATTACTGTACAGCAGGGGTAATTGTAACGCTACCGCGCTCGTGCGGAGGAGGAGCGCCCGCCTTTTTGGGTCTGGTTCGTAGTACTGAACGTAGATTGCAGGAAGTTGGCTCTTGTTAGACGTGCAGACGAGGGGTGCCCGCCTCTTCTTCCGAGTCACTGAGGTTTTTACTGCTGTCTGTATCCTCATTAGAAAGATTTAATCTCACTTCCTGTCCTTGGTACAACAGGAAGTGAGATGAAATTTACCCCCAGGAAGGGAAATTCACTCCTGTAAGAGTGATCATGGGGAAAAAGGTGTCTCCACTGAAGCTTCATCACCAATCCTGGTTTCCATATCAACCCAAAATGTTCAAAATACAATTGTCACAGAGACAGCAAGTGAGGGGAAATCTTCTATACAGGGGCACACACAAAACAAAATTTACGGGGGGTTAAAGCCGTCTCTATGCTATCAAAACAAACAAAAAACATTTTGGGGGCTGTAGTTACACTTAAAAAAATGTACCTGTCCCAACTTACATACAAATTCAACTTAAGAACAAACCTCCAGTCCCTATCTTGTATGTAACCTGGGGAACGCCTGTATTTATTTAGCTGTGCACACATGATTACCTATTAGCCTGAGTCTGCTGAGCCAAGCTCCCTGACACCTTGCTGGTGGATTCTGGTGGTTGAAGTGCTGCTTGTATTACATCAAATAATATTCGTTTACACAGCCTGTTGCACTGCACTGTTTGCAAAATACAGCAAGGTGAGCCAGGAGAGAGAGAGAGGAGAGACAGCCAGGAAAGAGAGAGGAGAGACAGCCCAGGGGAGAGAGCCAGGAGAGACAGCCAAGAGAGCGAAGAGAGACAGCCAAGAGAGCAAAGAGAGACAGCCAGGAGAGAAAACGAGAGAGAGAGAGAGAGAGCGAGGAGAGAAAGGAGAGACAGCCAGAAGGATGAGCAAGGAGAGACAGCCAGGAGAGCAAGGAGAGACAGCCAGGAGAGAGAGAGAGCAAGGGAGGTTTTTTTTCGGTGGTAGATCTCATGTAGCTCATCATTTGAAAAGTAGATCTTAACACAAAAAAATTATGGTCACCCCTGGAATATGCTGACTGAAGGGGACCACAAAGGGAGCAGTAAACTATACTCATCCATGTACTGCTACTCCCTCCTGGTCCAATCTGCAGGCTAAAGGCGTGTTCTTGACCCTGCTGGTGGAGGATCTGGCTATGGTTTCCTACAGGGCAGGGGTGTGCGGTTAGGGGAGGCAGACAAAGCCTCACCTAGTATTATGGCAGAAAAATACTGCTTCAAGTTTGAAGCTGACAGCTTTTTCACTATTCAGATCGGCATCTAACAGGTTACACAGCAGGGAAATCCTCCCCGCTGTGTAACTTGTCATGGACAGAGCACCACCTGTTATCTGGGAAGCCCGCTGCTTGTGTAACCTAACATAGTGAGGCAAGAGCTGCAACAGCCTCTACTCTGTGTTAGAGGCTTGAGCTCTGTGGATAGTTTGGACCAATGGCAAAGCACCATTGGTCCAAGCTGTCCAACCAAAAAAAACCCCACTGAGGACATCGATCTCGATGCCTCACCAGCGACGAGCAAGTGAGGGATAGGGAGGCTCCTCCCTTTCTCCTCCCTTCCTCCACCCTGAGTGCCTTACCCAGCACGGAAGGTAACGCACGCCAATGTTACAGAGATACTTGTATTGCAAGACTGGCTAAAAAGGGGTGTTCAAATCTTTTGGCAGGTAAAACAGTTCTTACACATTTCAACTGCGTATTAAAGAGGAACTCCAGGCATTTTTGAAAATCAACCCTTGAATTGGGGCTACCCCAGCACCTCTGCAAGGGTTAAACTCTAGTTTTGTCTAGGGAGTGAAAATAAAGAAGAAATACTTACTTAATCCTCAGTTCTGCCTGGCTGCCAGACCGTTTCCTGAAGCCTCTTCTCCCCTGGGCTCCAGCGGTCTAAGAATCTGTGATATCATGACATCTACGGTATTAGACATGAAGATGCTGAGGGACATACCACAGCTGGAGCCGAGGGAAAGTTAGGTGATTGGTCACTGCTACAGGACCAAGGAGCGGGTGAGTATATATTTATATATATATATATATA